CAACGTTTTGACTTAAGACATGGAAGTGGCTTCCGTGCCTTTTTGACTAAGTCTTTGAGACTTGTCTTTGGCTCATCTGTTTTAAGTTTCGGCTCACATCCATTAAGCTGATGGGCCTGCAAATGTGCATAGGATTTTTGGCAAACCCTCAGCCATCAACGGATTTGATAAGCCTTTACCGACTACCGTTTGAGTCGGGCTAGCATGTGGATTGTCTAAGTCCGTTCCACATGTAACGTTGTGCTAAGAGAATGAACCCTCTTAGACTTAATGTTATGATTTTGAATACATAGACTTTGTTATTTTTACAGAAATAGACTAACCGGCAACGCGTATTAGGCGTAGGCTTATCCCTACTTAGGATTTGGGATAAAGTTCCCCATGCGTGTAAAGCATAGATTTTTGGTGCTACGATGTTGAATACGTAGACTTTGTCACTGTTTCTTCCTGTGTTACTTGAAACACTGAAAGAAAGTTGGAAGCGTCAGAGGTGTAGTATTAACTTGGCATAAATTTTCACTTAGAATGAAATTCAGAAATTTTCTTTATTATCACTAGGATAATTCCAGAAAATCTTTAATCCACTGGGGATTTTATAATGAAAACTTGCTATTCTTGTTGAAAAAGGATTAACAAGTTCATTGGGGGGTTTAACTGTTAGAGGTGTGATGTTAACCTAACAGTATTTTATGGACCTATCGCTCTATTGAAGAGAGTCGATAAGTTAATTGTGTCGTCAGAGGTGTGATATTAACTTGACGGGTTTGTGAACCTATCACTCCATTGAAGAGAGTCGATAAGTTGATTTTGTCAGAGGTGTAGGATTAACGTGACAAGAAAATGTTACGATCGGAGCAACTTTGTGGACTTATCATCCTATTGAAGAGGATTGAGAGGATCTTTGTCAGAGGTGTGGAGTTAACATGACTTGAAAGTGTTGCGATCGGAGCAACTTTGAGGACTTATCATCCTATTGAAGAGGATTGATAAGTGGATTTTGTCAGAGGTGTGATGTTAACTTGACGGGAATTTGTTGCGATCAGGGCAACTTTGAGGATCTATCGCTCTATTGAGGAGAGTCGATAAGTTGGAAGTGTTGCAACCGGAGCAACTTTGAGGACTTATCATCCTATTGAAGAGGATTGATAAGTGGATTTTGTCAAAGGTGTGATGTTAACTTGACGGGAATTTGTTGCGATCAGGGCAACTTTGAGGACTTATCATCCTATTGACGAGGATTGATAAGTAGATTGTCAGAGGTTTGGTGTTAACATAACGGGAATTTGTTGCGATCGGAGCCACTTTGAGGACTTATCATCCTATTGAAGAGGATTGATAAGTGGATTTTGTCAGAGGTGTGATGTTAACTTAACGAGAATTTGTTGCGATCAGGGCAACTTTGAGGATCTATCGCTCTATTAAGGAGAGTCGATAAGTTGGAAGTGTTGCAATCGGAGCAACTTTGAGGACTTATCATCCTATTGAAGAGGATTGATAAGTAGATTTTGTCAGAGGTGTGATGTTAACATAACAGGAATTTATTGCGATCGGAGCAACTTTGAGGACTTATCATCCTATTGAAGAGGATTGATAAGTGGATTTTGTCAGAGGTGTGATGTTAACTTGACGGGAATTTGTTGCGATCAGGGCAACTTTGAGGATCTATCGCTCTATTGAGGAGAGTCGATAAGTTGGAAGTGTTGCAATCGGAGCAACTTTGAGGACTTATCATCCTATTGAAGAGGATTGATAAGTGGATTTTGTCAGAGGTGTGATGTTAACTTGACGGGAATTTGTTGCGATCAGGGCAACTTTGTGGACTTATCATCCTATTGAAAAGGATTGATAAATTGGTTGTCAGAGGTATGATGTTAACGTGACAAGACTGTGTTACGATGGGAGCAACTTTGTGGACTTATCATCCTATTGAAGAGGATTGATAAGTAGATTTTGTCAGAGGTGTGATGTTAACATAACAGGAATTTATTGCGATCGGAGCAACTTTGAGGACTTATCATCCTATTGAAGAGGATTGATAAGTGGATTTTGTCAGAGGTGTGATGTTAACTTGACGGGAATTTGTTGCGATCAGGGCAACTTTGTGGACTTATCATCCTATTGAAAAGGATTGATAAATTGGTTGTCAGAGGTATGATGTTA